ATGACATCATACAACTATAATGGTTAGCAAACTTCTATAAAATCTTCTGAATATGGAGCATTATTTTATCAAGGGTGTAGTCTAATAACTTCTAAATCTTCTATCAAATCTAGAAATCTTCCAATTAGAACCATTGGTGGCTCTTCAAATCAACATTCATCAAGAGTTAATAATTCACATTTATAGGGTAGTGAATCATCATCCTATTTTGATAGGAGGTTGAAATCAAAAAATAAGACAACCTTATTATTTAGGGAGGAAGGTTTAATGACCTAAAATGGTTGCCACATTAAATGCATTCATTTCTCACAAAAATAATGAAGATGAGGAAAGAACGAAGAATGATAAATCTATAGATGAATCATTATCTATCAGAGAATACACTTTAAAATACAGTCTTGTTGACCTACACAATGTGATAGGAAGATTGATTAAAGAAATGATGGATCATTTGAAGGGGATTATTATATGGATAAAGATATAATGTGAAAATTAATTCATAAGATAATAAGATTTATAGTAGTATCTTAACATTCTCGACACTAGGCCTGACTAAATTAAGATTTAAGGCTTGAGTCTTGAATTACAAACACCACCAAAGCTTTTTATTGCTTTAGAAAAATGAAGGTGATTTATTGATTCTCCAATGGTTATCATCTTCCTCTTTTCTAGGAGGTTTTAGCTTTAGTTTTGTTGCTTTTTTGCTTTATTGTGTTGGCTTTTACTGATTTTTCATTGCATCTTGTCAATTTCCATTGACTTAGCTTTTTTTTTTTTTTTGAGGATTTTGGGTAATGGAGACTTCATCATCATCAATACCTTTGACTACTTCTTCATCCACAAAGTTTGGATTTAGTCCAAACTTCTTTTAAAGGTTTTTTGACTATGATGTTCGATGAAAAAGTTGTCTCTTAATTATTAACACCATTTGCTTTCACTTTAGTTAAAAAATTTTGGCTAAGGTGATCAAATCATGAAATCATTTGCAAGTTCTTTTTTAATCTGAACTTTTAAGTTCCTTTTCCATTAGTTTGTTGGAATGACTTAACATTGTGATTCAACTCATAGATTATTGTTGAATTGGGTGATGCCACTTTACCAAAGATTTATCCAAATAACCTAAAGGAAAAAAATTGGGTGTCAACACTTTACCTCCTTTGAATAGTAAATATGTGCAAGAAACTAATATTCCAATTGAGAATAGCTCTCAACCCGATCAAGTTCCTTAGGATCAGCAAACTACTATGAATGGTCATAGAGTTTCACCAAACTTGGAACATGTTGACAATCTTAAATTTATCACAGAAGTATTTAAACCATCACCTTCTAAGGGAGTGTTAAAAAGTTCTTGCTATTTTCCATTTCTACTAATGAAACTGATAATGTTGATCAACAAATGGCAGCAACTTATTTTGAGCATAAAAATATTTTATATATATTGCAATTGCCCTATAATACTAACCAAAACCTTTTTGAATTTGATTTAATTATGAACAACAATGAAAGTTCTAATCATGACTCATCTTAGCCCAAATTGAAATATTAGGATAATATGGCTGAGGGTACTTTGGAAGAAGGGGAACTGTCTCAGGATGATATGGATGAATGTGCTCTCATTATTGATAAGGACATGGGCAATGGTAGTAAGGACTGTACTCTCATCTCACAAAATGGTCATAATATTATTAGCTTATCGAGTTTTGATGACTATTAGATGGCTAATGATAATGATTTTCTTAAATTTTAGAGTAAGAGGAATAAGCAAAACAAGAATATTTTTTCTCAATATACTAAAATTACAAAAGCTCAAACTAGTAATTTACATTTTAATATTTAAGTTTATTATTTTTAATGTTAGGGGCATTGGTTATCCTTCTCCTTCATTGGAGGAAGTTAAACATATTATGTTTTTTGTGAATTTAGATTCTATTGCTAGTCTATATGGGTTTACTACTAAATTCATTCAAAAGACTTAGAAAATTTTGTGCTCTGATTCATTTGGGGCTAATTTAGATTATTTTTGTAGGAATTCCATTCATAATTTTTTTCTTTAACTTTTATCGTGCTTATTCCTAAGAATAATGACATTAATAATTGGGATGACATTAGGCCTATTAGTTTGTGCTCTTTTTTCAGCAAGGTTATTTCTAAGTTTTTTATGAATTGCTTAACTCCTTTACTCTCTAAAATGATTTCCCCTAATCAAATTGGTTTTGTTATTCGTTGAGCTATTTATGAAAACATCTTACTTACTTAAAAAATTATTCATGGTCTTGATATTAAGGTGAGAGGTGGTAACATTATTTTGAAATTAGACATTGGAAAAGTTTATGATAATATAAACTGGATCATTCTCGACATTATTTCATAGTTATGTGGTTTTGATTTTGTTTTTATTAACCTTATCAAAAATTGCATTGAAAAATCCTATTTTTTGGTGTTTGTCAGTGGTAAATGACTTGGCTCTTTTAAGTCTTCTCACGAGATAAGAAAAGGTGATCCTCTTGCTCTGGCAACTTTTATTATTGTTGGTTAGTATTTATCTAGAGTGCTTAACCATATTTTTGAGAATAATCATAATCTTTACTTCAAAATTATGGGTAATTTTCCTATCTCTCAATTATGTTTTGCCGATGATGTTATTATTTTTACTAATGGCTATTTAAATATAGTATATAATGAGCATTTTAAATAAGTTTGAAACTTCTAGCAGTCTTTATCTTTATAAAAGTAAGAGTGGATTTATTGCCACTAAGAACATCCATCATAACTGTATTAATTCCATTAAGCTACCATTGGTTTTGTGCAAGGAACCCTTTTTTTGAAGTATCGTGGGATTCCTCTTTTTGAAAGTAGAAAGAAAGCTTTCCTTTTTGATGATTTGTTTACTTTGATGTAGAATAAGCTTACTTCTAGGGAATTCAAATTATTACATTTTGGTGGTACATTAATTCATATAAAAAATGTTCTTTGTTCCTTACATATGTCTATTTTTCAAACTATTTAACCAACCAATTTTATTTGAAATAGAATCGAAAAGCTCTTCAATAATTATTTTTAACATAACACCAATAATAATTCTATAAGCATTTGGTTGGCTTGGAGTAAATGTTGTGGGGTGTTAGATGAAGGTGCTTTGGGTTATAAGAACATGAATGATTTAGCTCATGCAATTTCCATAGAGTTGTGGTTTAACTTTTGAGTTCAAAGTTTCCTTTGGGCTAAGTTCATGACTGCCATGTACTGTGTTGATAAGCATCCTACTATAAGTAGCTACAATAAGGGTGATTCTAGAGTTTGAAAGAGACTTTATAGTATTAAGTGGGAAGTTGAACATCTTATTATTTGGGGTCTTGTTTGCTATAATGTCTTTTTTTCCAAGATTGTTGGTTTATTAAACATTCTATCTATTCGCTTTTTAACACTATTTTTACTATTATTGTTAAGGTTTATTCCTTTATCTCTGCTAATAGTTAGGATTATGATAAACTTGTTGAAGCTCTTCCTAACTTTATCATTAAAAAAAATTTACATTTTCCTATTAATCTTTATTTTGAGGATTACTTTTTTTTTTAAATTTGTCTAAGAATGCTTTATTTAGCCTGAAGGAAGCTTGGAACTCTTTTAGAGTTAAGAATTATGTTAAAAATGTTTCTTCTATGATTTGACATAAAAGTATTCCTACTCCTATTGATACTTTTATTTTGAGGATTATGCATAATTTCATTCCTACCAATGAGAACTTAATTAAAAGAGGTTATATTCTCCCTTTGAAATGTCAATGTTGCTGTCACCGTGAGAACATGCATCATGTTTTAATTTTCGATCCTGTTGTAGTTAAATTTTGGACTCATTTTAATGATATCTTTAGAACCAATCATTTCACTACTAACATTTCTATTAAGTCTATGCTTAATTTGTGGTTCATTAACTCCAGAGATCATATAATGAATTTCATCTCGTCCCTTATTTTGATGTATTTTTGTCTCTAGAAATAATTAATTATTAAAAAATATTGGCATGAATCCTCATCATATTTTTAGAAATGTTAAAGACTAATTTTTGGACCTTTACTCTGCTAATCTTTTATCCTCTAATAACTTTGAAGGTGTTTTGTGGCAAAAAAAAGTGGTATTTCTCTGCATAATTATCATCAGTTTGTTGATTCCATACTGGTTTATTGGATTAAACCACATTGCAACATTTACAAACTTAATGTTAAATATTTAGTTAAAGATTTTGTTTGTGGTTATGGAGGTATAATTAGGGATGAGATTGGGAACTTAATTATTGCTTATGTTGGTCCTTTACAGAAGTGTTTGACAATTATGCTAAGCTTTCAACTATCTTACATGGCCTTAAATTATGTTTTTCTCTTGGCATATATCTAACATCTGTATTATTTTTTTTTTTGAAAAGAAATGCAATTTGTATTAAATAATGCAAACCAAAGATTCTGGATACAAGCTATTGAGAGTGAATCACCAAATCACATTCCTCCTTTAAAAGTATAACAAAGGAGGAAGGAAGTGTACTCTCACGAAATAAGTCCCAAATGAAATCATACGAAATGGCTAAGTTAGCACAATAATCTGGTAACCTATTACAATTCCTACCAACAAATTGAAAAATAACGCTATTCCAATAACCCGAGCAAAAAAAATCTTCATCTTCAATGCAACCACCTAATTTCTTCTATTTGTTGTACATGTTTTGAAGAAATTGGATCACATTTTTATTGCTCCCTCTATAATAACACCTTTAGCATTGTATAGACAATTATTCAAAACTTCCTTTAAAAGACTAAATGTATATAGCTCTACTTGTTCTAAGTCCCAATGAACACCTTAAAAGCCAAATGCATGGACAAACCTTCCTTTGTAGTCCCTTACAATACCTCCAATACCTACTCCATAGTTACTCTTCAATGAAGCATCTATATTTATTTTGTACCACACAAGTGGAGGGGAATGCCAGAAATCTGAAAACAGTCTATAGGACTAGCCAGCATCCCAGTAATCTGAGAGAACCTTGCTCCATTTATCCAATCTAACAAAGCTGATCACGCTTGCAGCAATAACTAATTCACTATGTTCAATCTTCCCATGTTTAGACTTATTCCTGTTGCTCCAAGAGTACCATAAAAAAGAGTAATACATCTTCACCATCATTGAGTACATTTCAGACATAGATTTCAGCTCCTCCATGCAATGCTGAAAAGTATTGAATAAATGAATAAGAAATCCCCATTTTCTCAGTTTACTAATTACCTTTAACAACTTCGAACAATTACTGGTCACATGATCTACATTCTCAACCTCCCCACAACCTCTTGGACATAAATTACTTATACCCAACTTCCTTTTCATAAAAAAATTTGCTGTTAGAACTGCACCTTTGCACAATCTCCATATAAACAACTCCACCCGAGCATTCAAGTTTATCTTGTGAATCCATGATTTAAGGATCCACATCTACAACCTCCTTTGCATTCACTTCCCTTATCATAGCCAAAATAGACTTCCTCGATAATTTCTTTTTCAGCTTCATGAAGTCCACATCTTCTCATTGGCAAATTTGAATATTGCTAATCAAAACCACTAGGTCCTTCCCAAAAAAAAGAAGCAACTTATCTATATTCCATCTGCCATCTTGAATAAATATGTCAAGTGTAGTTTTATCATCTTCAAAGTCAGCAACATAAGTGGGCCATCTGAGTAGACTTTTATCCAATATCCACACATCCTTCAATACGTTTATATTTATACCCCTCACCACATTCCTTCTAACAAGACTTTTAAGAGCCTTCCAACCACTAGCTATGATTCTCCATGCCAATGAACCACCCTTTAATGCTTCGTTCCTCCACCAGTCTTCACCGTATATGGCCAATAGAATTTTATTTATGAAAGAATTTGGTCTTTCTACTAGATTCAAGCAAACTTATCCCTCATTGGTTCCAAGCTAGACACAACTAAATGTAGCCCCCCATCCACCCAATGCTCTCAATTTGCACAGCTCTTCCCAAGCCACACAATGCATCCCATGTGTTCCATCTTGCTTATTCCAAATAAAATTCCTACAATGCTTATCAAATTCCGTCAACATTCTAAATGGAATAAGGGAATGAGACATTAAGAATAAGGGAAGATTATAAAAATCAATTTTTGCCAAAACTAATTTCCCAACTAAGGAAATATATCTATTCCACCAAGCATTTAATATCTTCAAAGACTTGTCCAAAAGAATTTGAAAATTTTCTTTGCTCAATCTCCTTAGAGCCATCTTGGTTCCCAAATAATCTAATTCTTCTGCCACCTTAATCCCCATGATCCTTGCAATCTTCTTCTTCCTTCTCTTCTCAACTGCCTTACCAATGATCATAGCAGATTTTTTATGATTTAACCTCTGTCCCATCCAGCCACAATAATCACTTAAAATACTCTTCACCTTCTTAATAATCTTCAACTTAGCATCATAAATTAAAAGGACATCTTCTACATAGAGAAAATGTGATACCTTCTGAACCCTTGGAGCAATCCTGATGCCTAAGTCATTGCCTTCATGGAAAAAGACATTAGAGTGAAATTGGGAACACATGATAAAAAGAAAGGGGGAGAGTGGACAACCTTGACGGAAACCACTCTTACCCATGATCCATTTGGAGAGTCCTCCATTGATTAAGATAGAAAACCTTGGCTCCATAATGCATTCCATCACCAAATTCATGAACTTCTTTGGAAAGCCCATTATGCTCATCATCTTATAAAGGGTCTTCCAACACATGCTGTCGTAGACTTGTTCCCTGTCCAACTTGATAGCTACCATACCTACACCTGATTTAGAAATCCTGATCTTATTGAACAACTCCTGAGCCAGCAATAAATGATCCAATATACTCCTCCCTTTAACAAAAGAAACTTGCTCTTCTAAGATAACCTTGGGAATAACTAACAATAGCCTGTTCAACAAAACCTTAGCCACAATTTTATAGATAGAGTTACACAAGCTTATAGGATGAAAACCAGTAGGAGAGACTGGGTTACTTATTTTAGGAATAAGCACAACAAGAATGTCCTTCCATTCCCTGCACATTTTACCAGTACCAAAGAATCTTCTCACTGCTTTGACACACATTATTCCCTATAATACTCCAATAAGTTTTTTTTTTTAAAAAAGGTTATGCCATCATAACCAGGGGATTTGTTACTACCCAACCCTTTGATTACCTCCAATATCTCCAAATCTGAAATATCTACATTCAAACCTCTTATATCTGGATCATCCAAAACTGCTCTCGGGACAGGCCAGTTATCCACACAGCAACCCCTTTCTTTCCACTTATCCTGGAAGAAATTGAAGAATACAACCTGCAGCTCCTCAGGCTCCTCGGTGAGATCTCCATTTTAATTTATAACTTGAGAAATCCATTTCCCACTTCTCCTAGCATTTGAAAATGAATGGAAAAAATTAGTAATAGTGTTCCCATCCTCAATCCACTTCGCCTTTGCTCTTTGCTTCCACTAAGTATTCAACAGGGCAAGAATCACATTAAGCTCCTTGACTTTTGATCTCAACACCCAAAACTTCTCTTCACTTAACCAACCCATACTAGCTTCTTCTTCTTGAATCTGAAATATTTCCTCTTTCAGTTTCTCCTTTTCCTTAGATAAATCCTTTACTTTAGCCTTGCCCCAATAATACAAATCCTTCAAAGCTTTCTTACATTTTTTATTAAGGATTTCCATATCATCTCCTTGAAATTCTTTACTCCATACTTTAGCGATATTGTGTACCGAAGCTTTATAAGAAATCCAAACATCTTCAAAATTTAGAATCCCTCTTCTTTTTGTAGATGACTCAAAAATTTTCAGCACTATTGGATAATGGTCTAAAGCTACTCTGGCTAAGTGTCTCACCACTGCTACCTGAACACAATTGATAACCAAGGAATTGAGCAAACACCTGTCCAACCTCTCAAGAATTCGGCCTCCTCCCATTTTATTATTACACCAAGTGAATATTGGTCCAACAATCCCCACTTCATGCAAGTCATTCCCATTCATAAAATCAACCATCTCCTTAGGACCTTGTGAGAACACAAACTTCCTTCCACCTCTCTTGTCCTATCGAGACAATATACAATTGAAATCACCCCCAACGATCAAAGGGACCTTTTTATTAGCCACATCTTGTATACTACCCCAAAACCCTCTCCTCTTCAAAACCTCCTTACTCCCATAGACAGTAAAAATCATACACACCCCTTTATTGAAAACATTAAGGTCCCCAATGACACATTATTCTGACTTCTTTAGTACTTAAAAAGAATCCAAATTTGATCTCCACAATACCATAATACCTCCAGATAAACCGTCTGACGGTAGAAGAAAGAAATCCTAATCAAGCCCCAAAACTTTCTCAAAGGAAACGATGTCAAAAGCATTGATCTTAGTTTCCATCAACCCCACAAATAGAATATCATGATCTATAATAAACTCCTTAAGATATATAGAGGCCACTTTTTTCTTGGCCCCTCTATAATTCCAAAAGGCTAAGGAATTTATTAATTCAATCTAGGGGATGAGGCCCCTTCCCTCCTTTTGCTCCCACCATGATTCAAATTCCTACCACGAGTAATATTCTTGATTGGCCCAAGCGACCTTAGCTCTCTTACAAGCATCACCTTATTCACCTCCCCAATAGTACCACCATCCCTAACCAAACCACTTCCTGATCTATTCCTGTCATAACCCTCTAGACAACTCATCTCCATTGTCTTTCCAACAATACTACTTCATATCCAGCCATACCAATCTCCCCTTCTATTACATCTTCCTTCATCATATCACCATTAACCATATTCAAAATATCAAATTTTTTAACTAAATTTGATATATAGGAAAAATCAGGTTTAGTGATTATACCTAATTCTCCAACAGAATTATTTTCACATTTGTCAAGGGCCCTTCCTTTTCCTCCGCAAACAGAAAATAAAAAGACATAAGATTTATAGTGGTTCGATTAAACACGATCTACATCCACTCACTGAAGTTTCCCACTTCAGGTATTGTACTATTACCAATTAGTGTCTCTCCTTTTGCCCCAACAGCAAGGTGGAGAAGCCTTCACAAAAACTCTCTTCCACCACTAACTAGTGCGGTAGAGAACTGTCATCCTTTTACACCCTCTAAGTGTAGGCAGAGTACCTCCCGCTGTTCACACTCTCCAAGTGTAGGCAGAGAACCTTTCATCCTTTCACACTCTCCAAGTGTGGGCAGAGAATTTGTAATTTAAAAAAATTTCCCTCATAAAATTTTAAACCGATTCAAATTTTTTAATGAAGTTTTTGAAAAAGATTTTTCAACCAAAAATCACATAGAATCAGTAAAGTAAATAAGCGACAGAAAATAAAAAGACATAAGATTTATAGTGGTTTGATTAAACACGATCTACATCCACTCACTTAAGTTTCCCACTTCAGGTATTATACTATTACCAATTAGTGTCTCTCCTTTTGCCCCAACAGCAAGGTGGAGAAGCCTTCACAAAAACTCTCTTCCACCACTAACTAGTGCGGTAGAGAACTTTCATCCTTTTACACCCTCTAAGTGTAGGCAGAGTACCTCCCGCTGTTCACACTCTCCAAGTGTAGGCAGAGAACCTTTCGTCCTTTCACACTCTCCAAGTGTGGGCAGAGAACCCTTCATCCTTTCACATTTCTCCAAGTGTAGGAAAAGAACCTTCCCGCTGTTCACACTCCTCGAGAACCTTCTTACTACTGAACCAGATATCCTTGACAAGATCTTCCCACGAGAAATCTTAAAGGGCAAGAGAAAAGAGTGAAGTAATAATAATTCACAAATGAATATCCTTACCTTTGAGTATCAAGTGAGCACTTCACGCTTCAGTAGTAAGAAAATCCTTCAAACACTCTCTCACACTCTCTCCTTTAATATCTCTTCAATTTGCACGAAGACCAGTGGACAAAAAGATTACAAGATAGTTTTAATTAGACCTTTTACAAGAAAGACATGAAAAACTGTCCAAAAACTATAATTTTTTAATTCTGTACGTACTCGATTGTCCCGTACGATCGTAATTCGTACATACGAACAGTGTAAAAATTGTTGTGCACGAACTCAATGTATATTGGTACGAAATAACTTCGTACCCAATTATCATCCCATACGAATATAGTTCGTCCGATACGAACAGTTATTTCCAAACTTCGTTGGAAGATAACTACAGGACGGTCCAAAAATTTAAGGAACAGAGGACATCGTCCTGGGATGATGGTACAAGTTCTTCTGGATGATTAGTTCAAGTCAAGGGTCCAAACAACATCATCCTTAGATGATTGGAACAATTCGTTTGGATGATTAATTATGTCATGGATTCAGAGGACATCGTCCAGGGACGAATAGGACATTTCATCTGGATGAACAGTATAAAGTGAGAATCTAGAGGACATCATCCAGGGATGAATGAGACAATTCATCCAGATGAATAGTTCAAAGTGAGAATTCAGAGGACATCATCCAGGGAAAAATGGGACAATTCATCTAGATGAATAGTTTAAAGTGAGAATCTAGAGGATATCGTCTAGGGATAAATGGGACAATTCGTCTGGACGATCAGGACTTAGAAAATTTTCTCGTTTATTGCTCATTCCATTGCTCATTGAGGGGTATAACTGACCTGATCGTCCCGTACGATCAGTATAAGAAATTTTGACTTTTAAACATCTCCCCCAGTGTGTGTGTGCTTAGTTACTCAATTATAATCACACTCTCTCTAACTCAAAAAATGAATAAAATACAGACTCCTAAATACAAAATATTTTAATCAGATCTTTATTTGAAGTCTTCAACTATATGGAGTATTATTTTCTTGAAATATTAGTGCACACAAGAGCCAAAATTACTTCATCCAAAATGTGTTAGGAGAAATTAATAATCAATACAATAATATCTGGAATCATCAAAATAACAAGTTACTAGAATATAAAGTATGCAAAATGCTAAGTAGCAACTCTCTTAACAATCTCCTCCTCTTTGATGATGGAAAAATAATTATTGTTTGTATAAGTTTCAAATTTCTAAGTATCTCCTAAACTCCCCCTGAATTAATAAGCATGTGAGAATAAGGAGCATTTGAACATAAAAAAAAAATTAAAATTTTTAACACACAATCACTGAAACACACACAATAAACAACGATAAAAAAAATGCAATGAACAAATACAATGATAATTTAAATACGAACAATATTTTCTCCCCCTTTTTGACAATAGTAAAAAGTGAAGAAGAAATAGAACAATACAGAAATGTTAGAAGTCATATGAAGAGCCTTGGATAGTTGATCTTTTGAAAGAGATTGAGATATATTTGCAAATAAAAAAAAAGTTCATTAGTGAAATAGAAGGATTCATATGATTTAAGAAGAGATATAACATAAACAAGAAAAAAATTATCAAAAACATGAATCAATTTAAATAATGAGATAAACAAAATCATTACAAAGTAGATGAATGTAAAATTTGTATATTTCAAATTTGAATATCAAATAAAATCATATAAAGATTAATTGGAATTAAAAGATTAGGGAAAGAATCAATTACCACTTATGGCGCTTTGTGCATCTTTTCGATATTTATGGCATATTTTGTGCATCTTTTATATTTTTGGGCTAATTTTATGCATCTTTTTCAATTTGTGAACCATTGCGTATTCTTTTGATATTTTGTACATTTTTAAGTGTAACCTTGATCATTCCAAAATCAATAATCTAAATTCTCAAATTTCTCTAAGAACAATAATATTTATATTGATAAGAGAAATAAAAAAATAAGAAAATATCATAATTGCAATAATAATATAAAAATTATATTAGTCTAACAAGAGACATGAGATTGACATTCTTAACTAAATTAAGTTATAATCACAACTTAAATTTAAAAAAAAAAATAGATTTTTCTAATAAATTCTATTTTATGTTGCAATTTGAGATATAGCACTTATAAGATCAAATATTTTAAGGATGATCATATAGGCTAACACACATTTTAGAAATGAAATAAAAAACACTAAACCAAGACATGATAACTTTTATTTCCATAATAAAAGATATTACATCAAGTACGATTGATATCAATAAACATATTTTTCAAAACACTAAATAAGAACTAACAACACAAAACATTACATAACATGACATAAAATATAAAAACATAACAGCTAATAATCACACAACATCACATCTGGTACAGAGAATCAAATAGAAATACAATCATCACTCTGAAGGACCCTGATTTGGAGGAGGCAGAAGAGGGTTGAAGAAGTTGAAATAGTTACTCATAATAGCCATAATCTTGTTAACTGAATCAAACTGACCTCTAACCCAATCCATATCCTGCTGATGTTGATAGTCCTGCTGCTAAAGATGAGTTTCAATTTGATCAAAATATTGATCAAAATGACTCTCAAGCCGATCAAATCGCTGGACCATATCCTTAAAATTTAGAGTACCAGAAGGTTCAGGTGGAGGTCCTCTTCTTTCTCCCTCTGAATCACTACTTATTACATGTGGATCTTTATTAAAGATTGCTTGGAAAGATTAATCATTATAGTAGCTCTTATAGATTTTGAACTAGATGAACTAGGTCATATTTCTTCTCTAGAATGTAGGTCACAAGATGTCCTAAGGCTATATTTTTTCCTTTTGTGGGAGACATGGCCAATCTCAGAAAGTCCATAAAAGTAATCAATGATCAGTTGGGCTTCATTTATTGGTTCACTTGTCATAGTCAAATAAGTCACTATAGAAAGAAGAGGTGTGATATTTACTCTATCACCAACTTTAGGAATAATGGAAGTTCGAAGAATATGTTGGATGATACGGGCATTACGGTTAAGAGAGGATACCTTAGTAAAATGGCTTGCTTCACTACATCCTCTAATGACTTGATTTATTACAGTCCAGTCAAAGTTGGTGGAGGAGGCAAAAGTGTGGGCTCTATTTCCTTGAGTCCTTAAGTTTAAAAATATTTCTAAGTCTTCTTTAATGATCTCCACTTTCTTCTTAAAAACGTATGATATAATCACAGTTTGGTCTGAGTTGAAGGACATATCGGCAAGGAAGTAATGGAAAGTCTCCTTGTTGTAGAGATGGATCAAAGTGAGAATAAGACCAAATTGGGTAGAAGAAAAAAGGTGCATTACCTTAAAAGTGAGTTGTTCTTTGAGAAGGACTCTAGAGGGAGTGATTTTGGCAGATGCAAATCTAGGGAAGGACTCCTCATTTACTTTGGACAGAAAGTTATCTCGTAAAATTTTAGGGGGGTCCCTTAGCAAGAACCTTTTGCCTTTTGCTTGAACTAGCCATGGAGAAGATCTAGGAGAATGAAAGATTGAAAGTGATTTTTGAGGGGATGAAGTTTGAGTTCATAACCTTTCAATTTAAAGAGAAAATGATTATTTCGTACGAACGAAAAAATTTCATTCCATACGAATTTGGGTTCGTACGTACAAAAAATATTTTGCCTGGATGAATGAATGGGTCCAAAAAAGAAATGGCTTTTCTTAAGCATGTAAGTTATGAGGCATCTTTTTGTACAAACTTTTGACCAAAATGATCGTACAGAGGTAGAGGTGTTCATCCGGGATGATCAATTATTTAAGATCATTTTAGTGACAGTTTGAAATGTCCCCTACAGTGAATCCCCACAAATTCGTATGTACGAATGGAATGTTCGTACGTACGATCAAAAAAAAAAAAAAAAAAAAAAAACTTATCTTATCCGTATAACCATCTACAAGCGTACATACGATTAAATATATATCATTCGGACGATCATGATGATTGTACAGACGAATGGTGATATGAAAAACTAAAAAACTGCATGCAAACCGTTCAAATCGACAATTAATATGCTACACACTTTGTCCTATAATAAATTAATATCGTACAGATGATATACAGTTAAATTTCCAAGTCAATATTCCAAATCATGAATCTAGATGTGAGAGAACACAAAACAAAACAGACAGAAGTTTGCAAAATTAAACATGAACCAAACTATAATAAAAAAAATATATAAAGAAAATCACAAAATCAATAGACACATAACACACTAACAAAAACAAACAACAATATTGCAGAATCATTTTAATTAAGCATTCAAATCAATCACACCAAGCCTTGTTCTTAATGTACTGAAAGTATCAAAGGCTAGTGGTTTTGTAAAATGTCTACAAATTGATTTTCTATTGTAACATGAATGAGTTCAATTTCTCCTTTGGATACATGATCCCTTATGACATGATGCCTGATGTCTATATATTTGGTTCTTTTTTTTTTTTGAAGAAAGCAATTTAATGCATTAAAAATCAAAGAAACTAATTACAAGTAATAAAAGGATCACATTCCTCGATAAGGTTCCATAATAAGGAAGGAATGTTTTCCAAAGAGAAACTATCAAAATAAAAACTATCATCTAAAGCAAGGGTAGCACAACAATTAGCTACCTTATTACAATTTCTAGAAACATAATGAAAAATTACCTTATTGAAATCCTTTAATAAGCAAAGATCCTTATAAGACCATCTATCCATTAGCCATTTATTCTTCTTCTTCAAAGAATCATGAATGAAATTGATAATATTTACATTATCACTCTCCACAATAATTCCTTTGCATTCAAGCATCCAATCACAAAGGAAGTCCTTGGCCGCAAAAACTGCATCAAGCTCCAATTGAGCTATATTCCAATGAGTTCTCTTTTTCCCAAAAGCACTGATGAATCTTCCCATGTGATCACGGAAAATGCCTCCAATCCCAGCTTGATTGGATCCAAGTAGAGAAGCATCCACATTGATTTTAATCCAATCCTTTGGAGGGGGGCACCAAGGATGAAGGGACTCCCTAGGGAGATTAGTGCCCCAACTTACAAGAAAAGGATTAACATTGGAGGTAGCCAAATAAAGAGCATTAGCTGCAACTAAAGAGCTCGGTATAGCAGTTTTTTGGTGCTGAATTTCATTTCTATTCTTCCATGACAAGTAAACAATTGTGCAATAGAGTTTCACCATTCCAGAATTTTGAACCGTTAGAGCCTTTAAACTATGCAAACAATCATCCAAAGAATTGAAGAAAGGTATTTGAATACCCCATTCACGAATTCTCATGATTACCTCAATCAAGTATTTACAATTAACCATGATATGCTCATAAGACTCAATGGAATCACAACCTCTAGCACAGTTTATAAAATCTGAAATTTTTCGGTTCTTGAAAAAAACATTAGTTGGGATTCCCTTTTTGCCAAGTCTCCACCAAAAAGTTTCCACCTTCTTGTTTAGTTTTAGCTTCATCAACCAATTAAAGAACCCATATTCATCATCACTTAATCTATTAGAGACAACATATTCAAAAGAGAGAGCTGAAACGGTCTTGCCCGAGCACCAATTAATCAATTCAATGTTGTCATCAACCTCTATATCAATGCTGATTTGGGAAATGATCTCAATAATTTCTTGATGGAAAGCTATTTGCAATTTGAAATAATTCCAATCTCCATTGTTTAAAAGGAACTCACTAATTGTGGCATTCTCAAGATAAACACAATTGATAAAAGTGGGCCAACGGTTTAAACATTTATCATGCAACCAAGTATCATTCAAAACATTGATACTCTTTCCATTGCCAATGTTCCACCTAGCAATATTCTTCAAAGCCTTTCCTCCATCTAAAAGGATATGCCAAGCACTAGAGCCAGTTTTACGGTGAGCTTCATGTAAAATGTCATCCCCATATTTGTGCTTCATGGTTTTGTGAAATAAAGAGTCCGGTTTTTGAAGAAAATTCCAAGCCACATTGGATCTAAGAGATCCAATTCTAGATAAAGGGGAATGTAAACCCAACCCACCAAATTTCTTTGGTTTACATATCTCATCCCAAGCCACATAATGAATACCCCTATCACCATTTTGTTTATGCCAAATAAAGTTTCTACAAAGCTTTTCAAGTTCAAGAAGAACTCTCTTGGGAATTAAAGAATTTGTAATGAGATAGTTTGGCATAGAAAGTAAAGAGCTCTCAATAAGAACAATTTTACCTCCCAAGGAAAGAGATTTCCTGCTCCAAGCATTTAACCGATCCAAGACATTGCCAATTAGCTCCTGAAAATCAGCAATTTTAAGTCTTCTAAGAGCCATCTTCACACCAAGATAAATCATTTCCTTCACCATTTTAATGCCCAGCAAATTGGTGATTTTCTTCCTCATTTTCTTTCTTACATTTTTCCCAAATAAAATCTGGGATTTGTTAAGATTAACTCTTTGGCCAGACCAATTGCAAAAGTCCTCCACAATTTTCTTCATCAACTTTGCCAAAGAGGAAGTGGCATGAGAGAAAATTAGAACATCATCAGCATATAACAAATGAGTAATCCTAGGTCCTCCAGAAGAGATTTGAATACCAAGATTTTGACCTCTTTGATTAATAGCATTTGACAACAGTTGGGAACATAAAATAAAGAGATAAGGTGAGAGTGGACATCCTTGACGAAATCCACTATAAGCCTTAATCCAATTTGAATTAGAGCCATTAATAGAAATAGAGAATCTCACCTCAGTAACACATTCCAGAAGCAAATTAGAAAAGTAGTTGGGAAAGCCATACCAAATAAGAGTGTGATGAAGAGTGGCCCAACCCATACTATCATATGCTTGCTCCATATCAAGTTTGATAGCCATAGCTCCTTTTTTATGCTTGGAAACTTTGAACTTATGAAACATCTCTTGAGCTAAGAGACAATGTTCAGAAATAGATCTACCAGGTATGAAAGCCATCTGCTCTTCTGAGACCAATCTAGAGATAATCTTCTTTAATCTATTTACAAGCATAGAAGCAATAATTTTGTAGTTCATTTGACAAAGGCTAATGGGACGGAAATTTGCTGGAACCAAAGGATTTTTAATTTTAGCAATCAAGATAATAAGAGTATCCTTCCATTCTCTACACATTCTACCAGTTAAGAAGAAGTTGTTAACTGCATTCCATAAAGTGTCCCAAACAATGCTCCAAAAGCTTTTGTAAAAAGAGGAAGTAATCCCATCTATGCCAGGGGATTTATTATTACCTTGCTGGAAAACCGAGCTCTTCAAGTCTTCAACCGTGAAAGCTTCATTAAGCATAGAGTTATCATCCACCATAATTTTCTGATTTTGTAAAACTGTTGGCCAATCCGTCAGCTTGCACTCTTTAAATTGCCATTTTTTTTCAAAGAAATCAAAGAAGACTTTTTGGATTTGATCTTCATCAACTACTAACTCATTGGTTTCATCCTTTATTTGATTAATTCTGTTTCCACTATTACGGGCAGTAGCAAAATTGTGGAAAAGTTTAGAGTTCATATCACCTTCTTCATGCCATATAGCTTTTGCTCTTTGGTTCCACCAAGTAGATAACCTTCTTAAAGTGACATTGAATTCATGAACTTTAAACCGAAGCAATTTGAGATCCTCCTCATTCCAATCTTCACCCAAAGCCTCCTTCTTTTGAAGTTCTTCAATCTCTTCCTTCAGTTTTTCTTTCAGATTATTCAGATTTTTACATTTGTTTCTACTCCAAAAAAACAAAGCTTTTAGAGTTCTATTGGTCTTCTTTTGAAGAATTTCACTCTCATTCCCCACATCTTTCTTTTTCCAAGCATAATTAACAATGCTCTTACAAGCTGGATAAGATCTCCAAGTGTCTTCAAATCTGATAATCTTGGACTTGATTCTCAATTCAGTATCCAATTTAAGAAGAATTGGACTATGATCAGAAGCAATTCTAGCAAGGTGTTTAGTAATGGCTAAAGGAACTTTCTGAATAGCTGAAGAGTTTAAAAGACAACGATCTAGCCTCTCCCAAATCCGAGAGGTCCCCTCTTTATTATTACACCAAGTAAACCTTGGTCCAATGTAGCCAATGTCATGGAAATCATAGTTCACCATAAAGCTTTTCATCTCTTTAGGACCTTTAGAAAAAAGAAATCTTTTACCTCCTCTTTTATCTTCTTTGCTTAGAATACAATTGTAGTCACCTCCAATAATTGAGGGAGTGGAATCCTCCATCCAATCTTCAAGTTGTTTCCAAAGTTTACCTCTATCCACACAAGTTCTACTACCATAGATAGTAGCAATTCTCCAAGTTCCCAAAGTAGGAATTAAGAGGTCACCAATAATAGCTTGAGAAGAAGTATCTTTAACCATAAAAGACACCAATTTCATATTCCAAAGTACCAAAATCCCACAGAAGAACCAATGGTCGGATGATGCCAATACTCCCAATCCTTTCCAATAAAGCAGTCAATATCCTTTCTAGTAAAATTTGAGACCTTGGTCTCCATAAGACCAATAAAGAAGACATTATGATCCCTCACTAACTCCTTCAAATATAGGGAAGCTTCTTTCTTTCTAGCTCCCCTACAATTCCAAAACAAGACAGAATTCATTTAAACAATTAAAGGGGATTTCTCCCCAATAAAGGAACTCCTTCTTCCATCTCTTTTTTTCTTTTTGAAATCAGGTTCAACCGGCCCAAGATAAGTCTTCAACTATCTGGAGTATGATTTTCTTAAAATGTTAGTATAGACAAATAATAAAAGCAATATTTCTAATATATGTTAGGAGAAATAGTAATCAATTAATAATATTTTGAAATCATCAAAAACACATAGGATATGAAAACATAGTTATGAAAACTAAGTTGCAATATAAGGAAACATTTATTTGGTTAATTTTCTTTGGGAGAATTTAATTTTTGGAATTTTATTCTTGAAATTAACCACATTATTATGGATAATACGTAACTCTGAGAGGCAAAGATATCATTCCCCAATGGGTTAAGGTAGCAAAACTAAAAGTTTTATCCTGACAAAGAATGTCAAATTCATGAACTAACTACATATGACCCAAAAGGGTCAAAATGGTGTTCTATCAGTATTTCACTATTATTATCTTGATGAGAGATAATTAATATCATATTCAAAGAATTAGAACAAAACATATATCTTCACACTAGAATAAAATATCGTTTATGATCAATCATCTAAATATAACGATAATGATCATCGTTGATTTTGATTTTCACAAATGAAATTTATTGAGTTTTAAAATTTGATCGTGTTTTAAATCACTTATGAGCATCAGCCCTTGTAGTTAATTACATTATAAGAAACCATAGTTTTATATGAAAACTCTTGATTAAAAAAATGACAGAATTTTTTAAAGGATTCTGAAGGACTAATATCAAAGGATTGAAACTGCAATTTGGACATTGAGTGGGTCAAATTTGAACAATTATTTATTGGAGTCAAATGATGAAAGGTAAGAGTTTTGAGATTTTGAAACATTTTAGAAACACCCCAGCCTTCCAAATGTGTTGGGCTTTAAATTTAGAATTGAAGAGAATTTTAATTCAAGTTATTAATTTATTAGAATTGTAAGATTATATTCCAAAAAGTGCGGACTTAATATTTTGGGTCTGCCCTAGATCCTAAGTCTAATTTGGGCACTGAATGATAGTAGCCCGAGCCTAGCTAATTAAGTACAATCTGAACTTACCTCGGCCTAGATTGGGGAGCCAGCTAACCTCTTAGGCGCTTAAAATCCATGCATTTAGTTATTAGTGAAAGAGTGGTATGGATATTATTTGATTAAGTTTGTGGAATTAGGGCAGACATCTTAGATCATAATTGGCCCCTTAACACATGTAGGATAATTTGATGCTTGAAATAAAATGTAATTAAAATTTTGACTCATTTAATTAGTTTTTAATATAATGCATGTTAATCGACTTGATGAATGCATAAAATTGAATATGGAGCATATTTAAAAAGGCTTAAAAATATATTTTTCCCTAGGGATTGCATAATATCCCCTTGACAGGATTACACCTAAATAGTTCAGGTGGTATGCCAGAACCCACAAGTAGAGAGGTGCCTAATAAGGAAGATGAATTCAACTTGATCTTTGCTAAAGGCTATCTTGATGTCCTTCGGTTTCGACCAAGCATCAACAATCTCGTTCTTGTTTCCCAAGCTGTCCGCCATACCCAGATTATCCTTTACAGATAAAGGATCTTCCGTCGTCTTCAATAGATCATCAGTCTTCAGCCCGATACTATCAGCATTCCAATTTTCCATTACCAGAACATTCTTCTCCATATTCCCCTCCTTCAGATCAAGAATTCCAGAAAAATTGTTAACCCATAAAACCAGATTTTCCGGCGCAATCGGATCAAGAACGGCCAATTCAGCAAGTTCACCATCCATACAATTGGAATTTTCACACCCATTCACCAAAATGCTCTTCCCTTTGCCTTCAACAGCTATCGGACGGCAATGGGGTTTCAAACCTTCTCTGATCACAATCCCACTGGACGACTTCCCATTAGCTTGCTGAGAGCCCATAGATCGCTGAACATTCATGAATTCAGCGATGAAGAAAGCCGGCGAACGCCGGCGCCGCCGCCTCCTTCAACCGCGGATAACCCGCGAAGAACAAAATTTCAAAAAACAGAACAAATTCTCTCACTAGAAAATTACAAAGCTTCTCTCACTTAAAATTTTTTATTCCGGAAGGCCTTTAGTTCTATATATTTGGTTCTTGAATGTTGAATACGATTTTTAGAAATGCAAATAGCACTAGTATTATCATAATAAATGGGAATAGTGCCTATTATTAATCCTAAATCAATCAACTATTATTTTAACCAAAGTACTTATGCCACACAACTTCCTAATGCAATATATTCGGCTTCAATAGTAAATAGGGATACTAAATTTTATTTTCTACTGGACCAACAGACTAAAAAAATTCTAATGAATTGACATGTTCTAGAAGTACTCTTTCTATCAACCCTACAACCTGTAAAATCTAAATCTGAATATCCAATTATTCCGAATGAAGAGCTAAAGGATACCAAATTCTTAAGTTTTGAGTTCTCAACAATTACCTTAAAATCCTTTTCACTGCTGTCAAATATGATTCTTTTGGATATGATTGAAATCTAGCACATAAGCAAACACTAAACATGATATCGGGCCGGCTAACTGTCAAGTAAAGAAAAGATCCAATTATCTCTCTAAATTTCTTTTGATCAACAAATTTTCCCTTAGGATCCTTATCCAACTAAATTGAGGAACTCATAGGTATACTAATAAGTTTAGCATTGTCTATTTCATACTTTTTGAGTATGTCCTTAACATGTTTTGACTAACTAAGAAATGTACCTTTCTCAATTTGCTTAATGCTAAAGCTTTGAAAGTAACTCAAATCTCCCATTAGACTCATCTCGAATTCACTACTCATTATTTTAGAAAAATCATCATAAAGATTTTTATTTGTAAATACAAATATGATATCATCAACATAAATTTATACAATGAGTATATCTTCTCCCAATTTCTTCAAAAATAGAGTTGTGTCCACACTTATTTTTTCAAAATATCTCTAAAGTAGGAAGGTGCTCAATCTCTCATACCAAGCCCTAGGTGCCTGTTTCAATCCATATAATGCCTTTTTCAATTTAAAAACATTATTTGGGTAATTAAAATTTTCAAAACTTGGAGGTTGTTATACAAAAATATCCTCTTGAATTAGCCTATTTAAAAAGGTACTTTTAAAATCCATTTGATATAATTTAAATCCTCTAAAACAGGCATAGACTCATAAAACCCTAATTGCTTCAAGTCTAGCTACAAGGGAAAAAGTTTCCTAAAAATCAATCCCTTCAATCTGATTATACTCCTTAGCTACCAATCTAGCCTTATTTCTAATGACTACTCCTGAGTCATTCATTTTGTTCTTGCATACCCACTTAGTTCAAACTACACTTTGATCCTTTGGCTTTACAGTTAATTCCCAAACTTCATTTCTTACAAATTGATTTAGTTCTTCTTGCATAGCCAATATCCAAAATTCTTCCAAAAGTGCTTTAGTCTATACCTAGATTGGTGGGTAATATAATTGAAATAAAGACTGAATGATTGAATTTTTTATTCAGTCTATGCCTAGATTTAACACCCTTACAGGTTCTCCTATTATCAATTCCTTTGGGTGATTTTTAGAAAATCTCAAATTTCTAGGCACTGGGTTTTCTACCTCCAAATTTTCTTCTAAATTCACTTTCTCAATCTTTCGGGAGTTAATTTCTATCTCATCTTCTTGAGTAATTGGCTCTTCCAAACTTTATATTCATCAAATATAACATGTATGGTCTCCTCAATTACCAAAGTTTTTTTATTGAATACTTTATAAGATTTTCCAACACTTGAGTATCTAATAAAAATTCCTTCATCTGATTTTGGATCAAATTTTCCTAATGTAGATTTTTCATTATTATGAATGAACACCTTACATCCAAAGACATACAAATGTGATAAATTAGGTGTTCTCCCCTTTAGTAACTCATAAGGTATTTTATTTAAGTTTGATTTCACATTCACCCTATCTAGAACATAACATGTAGTGCTAACAGCCTTAGCCCAAAAATATTTAGGAAGTGAATATTCTGCCAACATGGCTCGGGCTATTTCTATAAATATTCTATTTTTCTTTTCAACTACCCCATTCTGCTGAGGGGTTCTAGGTGCAGAAAAGTTGTGATCAATTCCTTTCTTCTTATAGAAATCCTCAAATTTTTTATTTTCAAATTCTCCTCCATGATCACTTTGAATTGTCATAATCTCACATCCTAGTTTCCTTTGAATCCAAGTCTAAAAATTTCTAAATTTCTCAAATGATTCACTCTTATGATTTATAAATCTAACTCATATGAATCTAGAATAATAATCCATAATAACAAATCCGTATACCTTACCTCCAAGACATATAGTTCAACTGGTCCAAAAAAATCCATATGTAATATCTTCAATGGTTTACTAATTTTAAGATCTTTATTGGACTAAAAAGATGACTTCACATGTTTTCCTAATTGATATGCATCACAAAGGTGGTCTTTAGTAAAGTCTTTGGTATACCTCTCACTAGGTTCTTTTGGATAATCCTCCCAAGGTTTTTCATGTTAGAGTGACAGTCTCTTATGCCAAAGCCATTATTCATCAGAAATAATTTTTAAACAAAAAGCAGTAGGAGTTTTAATACAATTCAAGTCTAGCATATACACATTGTTTACTCGTATACCATTCAAAACATCATTACCATTTAGACTTAATATACAACTAATAGGGAAAAATTTTACACAATAT